TCGTCATATCATACGGAGACGCTGAGAAATCGCAAATTCCTCTGAATACGATGATCAAGAATCTGAGTGTTTAGCTGGCATGCGTTTCGCATCTGTCAAATGTAAGATGATGCTCCAGGACTGGTCTGCTGCAAGTACTACGAAAATAATGGTAGAAGGTGAATTGGTAGAACGTCATGACCAGTTCACTTACTTGGGCAGTTGCATCAGCCTGAGTGGGCTGGTCGCTGACGAATCCTAGCTCTGATACGAAAAGCCGGTTTGGTATGTACCAACTTGTCCAATTTCTGATGCCATCTGACATGATATCCAACTACCTATTGATGGATGAGTATACTGTGTTGCACTCCGTTATTTCCGCTGAAATTAGAACATATCAGGAGACTACACGTTTTCGACTATAAGTATCTTCTTAACATTGGTGAAATCACCTTATGGGCAATGTCGAAGTTAGGCGAAGAGTATTAGGCAAGATAAGCAAGTCAATTAATGAGGTTGTGAACCTTCATCGAATGCCGTGTGTTGCATATGCCCAGCAACCACCTAACTCAACGCTCCATTTGGAAGCTGGATCAGTTGGAAGAGGATTCAGAGTGGGCAGATAAAGACCTGATATCAGTCGATGAAGTCCCTGACTGTTGGATTCAGCCGTGTGGGGAGATGTAGATTACCTGGTTGGGGTCTCCGAGACGAGAGGAATCAGTGGTTAAGGACCCTTTGTGACATGGCTGAAAATTGGTCGTAGTGGTGCAGAAATATTCTCTACTTGACGTCTTTCGAAAGCTTGAATATTTGCGATAACCTTCATCTTCAAATTACTTATTCTCTCATGCAACTTTGATATCCCTTTTTCTATGCACTTGTCCTTTGGATACTACTGTGAAGTCTGGCAACTTAAACTAATCCACTTGTCTGCGAGGTTCTACGTTGACTTGTTCTGTCTGCCTATATTTCTCCCTTTATAAATTTGAAGTAGTTAGCTTTGAAACAGGATTGTCACTATCACCGTAAATCAATGGGCATCTTCCGATCACAGTTGATTTTGATTCTAATAGATTAGAAACGATATCCAGGCTTTTATCATTTGGAATGTTAGTATATAATAAATTTATGTCATAGCTCACCGAAAACTCGGTAACTTCCAAGAATGATCTCATCGGAAACTTATGTTTGCGAATTCTTCGTAGGCTATTTTTTTATTTGTCCCTTGGGTTCCTAATGGAATATAGGGCCTCACTAGCACGTCTCCAATGCGCTCTGTTCTCTGAAATCTTTTCAACCTGGCTCCACGACAGTCCACAAGCTCTCATTTCCTCCTCGCACGATCTCCTCCATGTCACCCTCAGCTAGGACGCTCAACTCGTCGCTTCCCATCGGCGTTCCACTCGAGCAACTGGCCTGACGCGTGATGTCCCCAGTCGGCTTTCTCAGTGTATGCCCAATCCATCTCCACTTCCTTCCAGTGCATATTTGTTGGGTGATAGGTTCTTGGTTGGTTCGTTCCCAGCCAGAGTTCCTTGTTGCTTATTCTTATCATTCTGGCCATCTGATCTTCAGTAACAGGCCAGCGCAGGCAGTTGTTGATGAATGTCTGTAGTTTATTGGAAATCCCTTTCGTAACGCGCCAAGTCTCTGAACCATATAGAAGCACTGACTTGACGTTAGTGTTGAAAATCAGCATCTTGTTCCACATGCTGAGTGCAGAAGATCTCCACACTGATTTCAGGTTAATGATCGCCTGTCTTGCTTGTCCAATCCTGGCTGGCTGACATCCTCGTCTGTCCCGCCTGTAGTTGAAACACTGCTGCCTAGATAGGTGAAGGAGGTTACTTCATTTTAGTTTCGTCCATTGATGGTGATTGGAGTTTGTTGTTGTTGTTGGAGTTGTTGGTGTGGTATCTTCACCACTCTGTCTTCTCTATATTCACCTGAAGTCCCGTCTTCCCTCCCTGCCTCTTCTGCCAACTTGTTAGTTTTCGTCTGTAGATCCTCAAGTTTGTGTGACATTAGACACAAGTCATCGGCGAAATCCAGATCTTCTAGGTTCTTTTCCACAGTCCAGTGTATCCCCCTCTTCTCGCTCCCCACTGTTTGCTGCACGAGCCAGTCGACCACAATCAGGAATATCATGGGTGATAGTAGACAGCCTTATTTCACTTCCGTCTTCACTTCAAAAGCATCACTGAGCTTCCCATTGTGAATTACTTGGCTGGCATGTGGCGTCTTCATATAGTTGTTGAATGAGGCTGATAAAGGTTTGTGGTATTCTGTAGCATTGAAGCAGTTTCTAAATTACCTCTCGGTCGACGCTGTCAAAGGCCTTCTCAAAGTTGATAAGTTGAGGTAGACCTCCCCACTTGACTGCCATTCCATACTCTGTTCTATGATGATGCGAAGCGTTGCAATTTGGTCGGCACATGATTTGTACTTCCTGAATCCAGCCAGCCAGCCAGCCTGTTCCGGTCGTAGTTTTGAATCTAGCACGTCCTTTAGCCTCTCCAGGATGATGCGGCTTAATATTTTGCTTGCTTTGGGTGGACAGGAGAGTGATTCCGCACCAGTTCTTGCAAACACTGAGGTCGCCCTTCTTCGGCAGTTTGACAAGGTAACCCTTCTTCCAATCACTAGCCAGGTACCTTCTCTTCCTTCCTTGCAAACCTTCTGCAATAGTGGTGTGGTGTGAGCATGTCCGCTGTTGTCTCTGCGTCTGTTTTCAGTGCTTCTGGTGGGATCCCGTCTGGTCCTGCTGCTTTCCCACATTTCAGTAGCCTCATGGCGTTCAGGACTTTCACTTTTGTTGGAGGATTTATGTCCACTTGTAGTTCGGCGGCTGGGCTGTAGATGGTATTTCTGGAAGAGGTGCAGGTGGTGGTGGTGATCGATTCAAGAGCTTCTTGAAGTGGTCAGCCCATTGTTTCCTTTGTTTCTCTTTTTTCGTAATTAAATTTTCGTCATCATCTTCTATTGGTTTCGTCTGTGTTGATCTCTTCCCTGCCAGATAGCAACCTGGTTATTTGATACAATGTTATCAGGTCTCTCTTACCTGCAGCCTGTTCTGCTTCACTTGCCAGTGTTTCGTAAAAGTGTCTTTTGTCTTTCCGTCCACTCTTCTTCACTTCTTTGTCCAGTATAGTGTTTTATACATTGTACTCAGTTCCTCTTCTCCTCGTTCATCCTTGCACTGCACTGGTTTATCTTCTGCTTCACCATCCTTCTCTCCCATGTATCCATTGCAATCCATTCCTTATCTTCTTTCTTCTTCCTTCCTAATACGGCTGTGCAGGTTTCTTTCCACATAGCTTTCAAAGACTCCCAGTGTTCATCCACACAGGTTTCTTCAGGGATCTTCCTCGATATCTCCCATTTTGTCTTGATGGCTGACTGATGTGAAGATTTCTTTTGTAGTTTCGTCCTTCAGTTCAGTTTCTGTTGTGGGTGTTGAACTTGAACTTTGGTCCATCACCAACTTCCCTGAAGGCTTTTCACCTGATTCGGAAGGTAGGTTCCTTGCACTAGAGAGGGAGTGGTCTGAACCTACATCTGCTCCTCTTCTTGACCTTGTGTCAAGTAGACTGCGTCTCCATTTTCTTGAGATTGAGATAAAGTCGATTTGACTTTTAGTGTGTCCATCTGGTGAGATCTATGGCACTTTGTGGATATCCTTGTGTTTGAACACAGTGCCTGACTCCAATCACCAAATCATTGAATGCACAGAAGTCTGCAAACAATTCTCCATTCTCTTTCATCATTTCACCGAGCGCTTCTCGACCCATGCACAGTTCTCTTCCTGTGTTGTCCGCTCCCAGTTTGGCATCCATGTCATCCATCCGAATTTTGATATCGCCAACTGACGTCTTGTCCAGTGTTGATTGAAGTTGTCTGTAGAACTCCTCCTTCTTCTCGTCATCTGCACTATTTGTAGGTGCATAGCATTGTATGATTGTGGCCTTCCTTCCTTTTGAGTTGAATCTTGCTGTCATGATCCCGACTGTGGAGGAGGAGATTGGTTCCCACTGCATGAGAGCCTTCGATGCTGTTGGAGACATCATGGTAGCCACTCCATAACTCAGTGTGCTGTGCTCGTGGTTGTCGTCTGGGTGACAATATCAGAGTAGATTATTGATTCTCCAGTTGACAGTTTGGAGAGTCCACTCCCATTCCATCTGCTTTCGCAAATTCCAAGCACTTCAATGTGATACCTCTTCATCTCGTTTGCAATCTGGGCTGCCTTGCTGGGTTCAAACATCATGCGGACATTCCATGTCCCCATATTTACTTTCGCTTTCATCGAGAGAGGTGAAGATACATCGACCAATTGGCTTCCCGAAGGCTTTCACCAACTGGCGTCATTTTATCTTTTCGATTCCAGTGAGGAATAGTTTTGTTTTTGTTTGTGCTTTGAAGTTTCTTTAGCGGTTGGATTGGTTTCCCGGGGTAGGGTTGCTAGCCCTATGCCCAACCTTCCCTCTTTATTCGGGCTTAGGACCGGCTAGTAAGTAGTGAACTAATGAACCGGGCAAGGCTTTGGAATTTAAATTATATAGGACTTAAGTTTGAGTTCGAACAGTGAAGTGACTTAGGGTTTCAGTTCCAGTCTACTGGTATCATGTTTGATTTCATTCAGGTCGACAGATCTTTTTATGACCTAATAAATATGGTTCTTCGGATAGGTGTTCAATTGCCTTGTTATCATAATCTGTTCTGTCTACAGTAACGTTTGCGTTCCTTTTATCTTCCTTTGTTTAACATTGTCTTCAAAGTTAATTGTTTTCCGGATAAATGCCATGATCAATGCAATTCAAATGTAAGAGACTGACAGTTTTGCTTGAATCCGTTGATGGACAACTGTTTACCAACAGAAAAATTATAGCTCGAACACAATTCAGTATGAAAAGTCATAATTCTGAAACCCAACTTACATTGTCGAATCTGTATACTTCTGCAGGTTGACACAAATCCAGACCTACCACTTAAAAATTGCTAAGAAACAAGTCATCAGAAACAAAACAAGAGACAGGAATATATTTTATTGTAAGAGGATATAAATGTGGGTATACGCTACAGGAAATCAAGTAGTAATCGATTGATATAAAAAACTATAGTGAATGAATTATAAATACAGTTTGTTGTTCATCTTCGACCTACAATACTGTTTTCTTGAGTAGAAACAAAAACCGGACAAAATTTTATATATTGCTTTTGTAACTATCACTTCGAAAGGCTGACGATACTAGTAGGTTTATAAGTCTAAAGCAAAATGTAATTTATATCACATTGTGCATAGAGAGATCTAAAAGCATAAAGCAACAAATGAACATGGGTATGTTTTATATAAACCGTGAAAGATAGTAAAAATTAGTCGCAATACAATTATTTATTACTGTTATTACTTGATATTGTACACTCTACCAAATACGGAAACCAGATGATACCAACCAGGCAAAAAGACCATGTTTACAACTCACAAACAATAGCTCGAAGAAAAAAAGAAGTAAGGACAGAGCTGCGAAGCTGATTCAGTATTCCTTCATACAATAAATGTGGTATATCATACAAAAAAAGGAAAAAATAAGACCAAAATTTACTGCAGGGTAAATGATAATTACTATCAAAAGTAGTATTGTAAATTATAAGAACAGTTCACAAAAATTGGTTAATGTACGTAAATATTTCAGCTTCTTGCATTATGCTGATTAGGAACCAAATCACCACCACCGATAATTTGAGCTAAACCACGTCTTCCGACTACTTCTATTGCAGGAGTGAAAATCTACAAAAACAGGAAAATACAGTTTGTAAACGAAGACTTCTTCCAGTATGTAGACAATACAGTGCATGAATATAATATGTAACATGTACATCTTAGTATACTGGATTATGAGCTACACCAAGTAAAACTGAGTTGGTAGTACCGCCCATTCGCTCAAGCTCTGGTAAATGTACCAGCATCTTTACCGATGAACCACTGAGTAAAAGTCGATAGCCAGAGAAATGACTCCTTCAACGGTTAATTACCAATAAATAGGCAGCGATATTTATATGATTCATCATCAAAGCATAACAGTTCAGGTTACCACACCTAAAGTGAGTTTTGGATATCAATCTAAACTAGTAAGAGGAGTGAAAACATTTGCAAAATCAATAATCTGGGCAATGAAGTACATATTACGCAATGATGTTTGCACCTTATTAATGAAATTCACTAGATACACAGACAACTACATAAATATCTCAGGTCGACAACCCTTGGTATTTGACATTGAAACTGTCTTCATTTCATTTTAAAGGGTATTTATTGGCACCATGCATAAAATATTGTGCCTCTTGGATAGCTGACACCTTGAAAGCTTATGTGCATAGAATATTCGTAGATTCATGGCATAAGTTCACCTTTAACAATTTTTCAAACCCAAAGTTAGTCAAGAGTAAGAAATTCTCTTATCTGAATTACACCGAAAATACCAAGCAGAAGTATAGAATGAGTTCCAATTTTTCAGACGAAATCAAGAACCAACGAAGAAATTTTAGACGACGGAGAGATCATTGTAGTCACGGGCCAGAGTAGGATGTTTGGGGTTAGATGAACTGAGTAAGGTCATCATTGTACCCTACTTCAAAAGGTGTGGCTTTTTTGGAGACACTTATCAGGATTTCAGTCTTCTACCAAAACAACATTGGTTGTTAACATGCTCAACAGGTTTTGCAAAACGATAGCAGAATTGAATGAGTTTAGTCATGGTCGTGAATCAATTGACCAAGTGATCACCGTCATATGCTAGAACACTATCACGTTTTTCAAGTAAACAATCGTTATGCTCTTAGATAGTACGGCTACCTTACGTTCATTGTTCCTTGGAATTACTTATTAGAAAGGGATGTCCGTGTGAAGTTCATAAACACGAGGAAATATTAAGCGAAAACCCATCAGTTAGGGTGAAGGCATAAAAACACATCTCCCCTAGCTGTGTATAGTTTCTATGATTATGCCACAAAAGTTCGGTTTTGTCATCGATGACATTCTCGAAGGCAATATCGTTTAACAGCATAACAACATGTCACACTTATTCACTAGGCGATCAGGATCCAGACATATAATAAATGCTTTGCCTTGACGGAGTGTAAGGTACTTTTGAAAGATTGACAAATGCTTGTGTTTGCACACGACCTCGGTGGTTCACCACTGAAAGTGGTCGAAACGTTTGTGCATATGAGGGATTGTCGAACGCTGACGGGGTGTAAACGAATGAAGTTATCGATCATATACAGACCGGAATATGAAATCTGGCAACTTCAACCGATGCACTTGCATGCGAGGTTCTAGGTCAATCTTGTTTTTCATACGACAAATAGCCTTAAAGGCTAAAGATGGACAATTATGCTGTGGGGATATGACTTCAATACTTAGCACAATTAAAATGCTGAATTTGGTCAAGTAGATACATTATCACGTCTGTTAAGTAGTCACAAGTTGGAGAATGAAGATACAGCCCGTTGGATCACTTTTCATAGAAGATGCAAACAAAATTCTAGTAAATGCAACTAAACTACTTCCAACAACTGCAGCTTAGATTGTCCGCCACACCCTATATGATTCAGTTTAGCCGCAAGTTTCAAAGTTTATCCGATGCGACTAGCGCCCGCAGGTCCATTCTCACGAGCTAAACCAGTTGTATCAACTACAATCTTTATCCAGTGTAAGTGATTGTGATGTTCGCTAACTGATTGCTGCAACCTGCTAATCTCCACAGCTATGTTTCCTGCCAACTTTATTCGTTCTATCCTGACATAAGATGAATGAAATCGACTGCTCATAGCTGTTTACCAGTGTGATATTGATAAACAGATTCAAGATGCTGTTCGCCGACGCAGCAAAATGGGCCAAAACATCAAAATGTCCACGAAAGACAAACTATGGTCTTGATCACTGTCAACAAAACCACGGTCTCGAGTGCATGTTGACTTTACCGGGTCGCTCAACGATACAAATATTCTGATATGCGTCGATCCATACTCCAAATGGCCGGAAGATTTTCCCATGTGTTGCACAACGCTCAACGTAGAAAATGGCTCAACAGCGTCAGCTATTTTGCAGCTTTGGTACTCCTGATGTCTTGATGGCTGATAATGGAACTCAATTTACATCAACTACTTTCTAAAATTTTGGCAATCAGTTGTGCATTGGACATATTCATACCTCTTCATATCATCCGAAATCAAATAGTAAAGCAGAACTGTTTGTTGATACCTTTATTCGAACTTCATTTAAAAAGATGAAAGAGGAAATCTTGCATAAATTTAGGCTGCTTTACCGCACGCTGTCGGATCCTTCAGCCCCGAATCGATTATCTACAGCAGAAATCAAGTTTGATAGAAAAGTTAAAAAGGTTCGCGATGCAACTAAACCTAAGCGAACAGAGAAAAAGTAAAGCAATATTAAAATGCAAGACCAGTTCAATCGCAAACATGGAGATAAACGTCATCTTAAGACTAGACCAGTTAGTTGAAGTGCGAGATTTTCGTTATTCACCGCCAAAGTAAGTTCGCGGGCAAGTAATCGGACGCAGAGGAAATCATCTATACAAAGTGGGTAAGACACATCAACCACATGAGAGATTTAGCAGAGACAGCAAACAAAAAGAAACAGGACTCCAAGCTTGAAGCTTTACTAGATACATTTGATGTGTCTCAGCCAGAAAAACAGGACGCAGACCAGACGCAACTCGTAACTTCTCGAAGGTCAGTTCGAAAAGGAAGAAGACTAAAGCCTTTCCAAATCGACCCCAGCAGGAAGTCCTATGGCTTTAACGAAGGAAGGCGATGGAAAACAGCTAAAATGGAAGTCAACATTTTAAGTCAACTGTTGGTGGGGTTGGATTTTTTGAGCTTCAAATCCGATTTATGCTGCTGTGAAGGATGGATGTCTTAGTAGGCAATTTCACACTACAAGGAGACAGCCACGATAATTCATTTTATCCCTGAACAGTTCCATTCTTGTTTGCGAAAAATACATAGGTCTGATGTATCTTCGTCGAGTAAAGGCATCCTTGCAGTCATAGGTTAGTTTTGTCTCCCGATATTTGCGTAATTCAGTTAACAGTCTTTATGGCGTTTGGCATCATTATTATATCTGCATCGTGTTACACCAGGTCACTTAAGTTTCAAAATTAGTATTTGGTAACATAGTTTCAACAGATAAAAAGAATAAATAAACATTTACTCTAGTTTATTTGTTCATTAAAAATTCCAGAAAGCAAGGTACTGATATCAAATTCTTTAAGCATATAACGTCCTCATGAACAAGATGGTAAAATATATAACAGTAACCAAGTTGAACTCTTCAAATAAGTTAAGTGTTGATTGGGAAAGAGACGAAGGTCCTCAAGAGCAGCAGTAAAACTTGCAACGACACAAGTGATGAAACCAAGCTGTATACTAAATACATACATACATAAGCGAAAACAAATATTCTAACAGAAAATACATACCTTATTCATGACTAAATCGGCCGACTGATCAATAGCATTAGCCAACTCTGGCGATCGACCAGTATAACTTAAAAATAGCCAAGTGAACAGAGTGATCAAAGCAATGTAGAATGGCAATGTCAGAACACCAGAAATCATTGATAATCCAATAAATTCAGATACTCCCGTGACAATGTAGAAAAGTAACAAGGTGACAGCCAAAACTGCTGGAGTACGAAAGGTCTTAGGATGAAAAGTAAGGCAGTGAAAAAAGGAGTTAGTATGAAATGATTTCATGAAACATGATTAGGCGAACACTAAACCGATAAAGAATGAATGCACTGAGAAAGAATACCTTACCCCAATTTTTACTATATATATAACATTCGTTCATATTAATACCCTGACCAATCGCTGCTACCTTGACGTGGCGGTCGGATTTGCTTATCACAATAAACCAGCGAGCTACGCTGATAGAAAGCTTATTCTCTACAGGTCATGCTATACTAGAAAAGTTTGTTAGACAGTGTAAGACGAAAAGCAGTTATCGTTGTAGTGTGAATTACTACAGTATGATGGGGGTCTCTGGGCGACATCACGAGGCTACTTGCTGGATAAATGTGTGACAGCAGTAAAGTACCTCCCTTGGATGACCAGCAGTGGTACGTTGATGCTGCACGTCGGAAGGTGGGTTACAAAAAGGTCGACCACATACTCTTCCCTACCCCACAGTCTCCCGGTGCTAGCAGAATGTTTTCTCTATCCGGTGTTAAAACAATCGAATCTCATACCGATAATCCCGGAAAGGTAGTGTGTGGTAGACATCAAGGAGATACCCATGGGCTCTATGGTCTCACAAATCGTTTCCTCTGTCAGGTACTATGAGAAGAAATAGCCTTCCATTATGTGGGCAGGAGAGGGGGGGGTGTCAACACTCACACCCTTCCAGTAGTGTACAAGAGACAACTAGACATAACCTATCTTTCTCGACTATATCTCCTCTTATGCCTTCACATCCTGATTATAATATTAAGCCTTTTACACCTTCCCCAACCTCTCACTCTGCAATCATTGTCAACGATCAAAATTATCGAAACCTCATTCCTAGTCTCCTAAGACCCTCACACCCACCATCGATTTCATGTTGCAGCTTTCAACCACCAAACTCTATGCAAATCCAACAGCAAGCATCACTACCAAGAACTCTGGAATCTCTAGTCAAGGGTGTACGCTGTGAATCTGAGACTGGTGTACAGGATCCGACTGTGGTTATTAAATTTAGTTCACCTGTCCAAGGTGTGGAATCTTCGAAATTCACCTCGAGATTATCCGATGACCCAATTGCCAGCTCTTGTGGACTCACTGGTGTTGGCATAGCATTGAGTTGTAGAGCAGAAAGTGCACTTCTCGACTGCATACCAGTCAACAGCCATATGTATATGCTGTTCAACTGAATGGATCTATAAGGACTAGGTAGTGCTTTGAGATCAACTGATCCCTATTCTTAATCTCCGCTTATGCACCAACCAACTGAAGTTCGGATGATGCGAATGATGAATTCTACGAGAAGCTGTCACTCTTACTATGGAAAGTAAAGCGCTTAGACGGAGTCATAATGCCAGGTGACTTCAACGCTCGAGTAAGGAAGTTGAACTAATCGAAAAGGCATCTGGGAGGTATCTCCGGAATCCCATGCCAACGAACCGACGATGGTGATTGTCTGTTGCAATTTTGTTTTGACAGTCACTTGTTTGTGGCCAGCAATAACCTTAGGCATGAAGTGAGACACTGTCATTTGGCGTCCACCAACGTCAAACCAACGATGGACACAGACAGATCATATTGTTACAGGTCATCGTTCGATAGGATCGGTGGAGGATTGCCGCTCTTTCTGGAGTACCAGTTTGCACTCTCATTAAGTAGTAGTTCGGGTTTGGTGGATGAGAACGCCAAGTACACATTTACAGGTGAGTTAGCTAAGCATTCATCTGAACGTGACTGCAATGCTCATCCTGAAGAAACCTGGTGTGATATTTAGTCTGCTGTAGAAACAGCGGTAACGACAGTTGGTGACCTGCACCTGAAGGTTAGTTAGCAAACGTGATTGGATTTCCGCGACGTCATCCGAAGTGATTGATTCGAGAAGACTGACTACAGTTGGCTCTGACCACAATGAAGAACGAAGGCAACTCAAATGAAAGTTGACCAAGAGTCTTCGAGTCGATCGCGAGCAGTGGTGGGTGGAGAGAGCAAGAGAGGTGGAGAAGACATCATCGGTGGGTAACACTCAGCAACTATTTAGGCGTATTAAGGATACTGGCATGATGAAGACGATGGTTAGTGAAGAAACCACCAACAACCAATCCTGGAACCTGCCTGATTTTCCCAGGCTTCACTTAACCAGGTGATTATAAAACCTATGATCTGAGGTATTGTTCGTTAGACAGATTTCTCTCGAGGATTTATGTCCTTTACTGGGGGCAATCAATGATTGGAACCAGTCATCAGAAGGGACCATGTATGATTCTTAAACGACAGCTAAAGCTTCGGTTGATCAAATCAACAATTATTGACCACTACGCGTGCATTCAGCTACCTTGTGCACACCCGTGCAATAGGCCATGAGCCACATTTATTGTGTTAGGGCTAGTCACACTACCTGACGGCTGCCCAAACCTAGGTGGGTGGGCGAGGCTCGAGCCTGTGACCCAGTTGTGGATAAACATTTACCTAAATTATTGAACCACAACTAAGTCAGGGAGCGTACAGGTTATTTTTTAACTGGGATCCAGGTGAGCTATGCCTAAATCTGCAAGACTGCGAAAACTAACAATGGAATCTCCAAAAAAGAGAACGGTGAATTTCGTAGATACGTCACACTGACTGGATGGCGTTGAGTGAATAACCAACTTTAGGTCTTGTATGCGTATGCGCACATCTATGGTTACACATTCAGGGCTTTGGTTGCCGAATTTCGCTGTTCTGTTAGATAAAGTTTGCGAACAATCAAAGCTCCGAAATGAGGTTTTGAGAGTAGTTCTAAGAAACCAGAAGCGCCATTAATTGAGATCGACTCTTTATCAGCTGCCGAAGAGCTGGCAGAGAATGAAGCTGATGTAGGACAATCAACACATGCGAAAAATTTTAAAAAGTGTGAAAGGTTGATCATGATCCAAAGGATTGGAGTGCTAACAGAGATTGCCAAAGAGATGAGAAGGTATGGCATAGAAGAGCTTGGAATCTGCAAAAGTAGATGGAATGGAAGTGGACTCTCCAAACCGTCAACTGAAGAATCAATAATCTACTCCGATATTGTCACCCAGACGACAACTACCAGCACACTAAATTATGCAGTGGCTATCATGATGTCCCCAACAGCATCTAAGACTCTCAAGCAATGGAAACCAATCTCCTCCTCCACAGTCGGGATCATGACAGCAAGATTCAACTCAAACGGAAGGGAAGTCACAATTATACAGTGTTACGCTACGCACCTACAAATAGTGCAGATCAAGAGAAGAAGGAGGAATTCTACAGACAACTCCAATCAACACTGGACAAGACGTCAGTTGGCGATATCAAAATTCTAATGAGTGACATGAATGTCAAACTGGCAGTGGACAACACAGGAAGAGAACTGTGCATGGGTCGAGAAGCACTCAGTGAAATGAACGAAAATGGAGAACTGTTTGCAGACTTCTGCGCATTCAACGATTTGGTGATTGGAGGCGAGGCAGTATGTACAAACACAAGGATATTCAAAAGGCAGTGACATGGATTTTACCTGGTGGACACACTACACTACAAATCAGATCGACTTCATCTCAATCTCAAGAAAGTGGAGATGCAGTCAGCCTACTCGACACAAGATCAGTTCAAGAAGAGGAGCAGATATAGGTTCACACCACTCCCTATCTAGTGCAAGGAACCTACCCTCCGAATCAAGCTAAAAGCCTTCAAAGAAGAAGCTGGTGATAGACTACAGCTCAAGTTCAACACCCAGAATCGATACTGAACTGAAGGACGAAAATACAAAGGACATCTTCACGTCAGTCAATCAGTCAGTCATCAGGACAAAATGGGAGACATTGAGCAACATCCCTGAAGGAACCTGTGTGGAAGAACACTGGGACTCTTTGAAGGCTATGTGGAAAGAAACCTGCATAAGCATACTAGGAAGGAAGAGGAAACAAGACAAGGAATGGATCCTGACGGACACATGGAAGCTGATACAGGAGGGAGAGGAAGATGGTGAAGCAGAAGATGAACCAGTGCAGTGCAGTGCAATGTAGGGATGAACAACGAAAGGAGGAGCTGAACACAACCTACAAAACACTGGACTAAGAAGTGACGTAGAGTGTGCGTAAAGATAAAAGACACTTCTATGACACACTGGCAAGCGAAGCAGAACAGGCTGCAGCTAGGAGAGACAGAGACCTGACAACACTAGGTTACTTACTGTCTGCGAAGAGATCAACGCAGATGAAACCAATGAAAGATAGTGAAGGAACCTAGTTACCACCAAAGAGGAGAGACGAAGGAAACGATGGACTGACCACTTCAAAAAACTATTGAATTGACCACAACCACCACCACCTGCAACTTGTCCACAAATACCACCAGCAGCACAGTCATAGAACTGTCAGTGAACACAGGCCTCTGACAAAAGCAAAAGTGGAGTCCTGATCGCCACAAAACTGCTGGAATCCGGCAAGGCAGCAAGACGACATGGAATTCCTCTAGAAGCACTGTGAACAGACGCAGAGACAACAGCGGACACACTCACACCACTACTGCAGAAGCTTTGCAAGGAAGGAAGGAAAGGTACTTCTAGGTTGGTTGGAAGAAGGGTTACCTTGTCAAACTCCCACAGAAGGGACACCTAAGTATTTACAAGAACTGGCAAGGAATCATGCTCCTGTCCTCACCCACCCAAGCAAAATATTATGTCACATCATCCTGCAGAGACTAAACAATACGCTGCATCAAAGTTACGACCGGAACAGCTGGCTGCATTCAGGAAAAACAAATCATATGCAGACCGAATTGCAACGCTACGCTATGCATCATCATAGAACAGAGTATAGAATGACAGTCAGCTCAACTCCATCGACGTCAAACGAGAAGTAATTTGGCAGTTGCTTCAACACTACGGAATACTACAAACCTTTATCAGTCTCATTCAACAGCTATATGAAGACGCCACATGCCAAGTGATTCACAATGGAAAGGCTCAGTGACACCTTTGAAGTGAAGACAAGAGACAGGAGTAAGACAAGGCTGCCGCCTACTATCACCAATGATCTTCCTGGTTGTGATCGACTGGGTCATGCAGCAAACCGTGAGGAGCGAGAAGATAGGCATACGTTGGCTGGACCGATGAAAAGACCCCAGAAGAACATTTGGATTTCACCAATGATGATTTATGTCTAATGTCTTGTCGTACAAACTCGAAGATCTACAGGCAAAATCCAACAAGTTGACAGAAGAGACAGCAAAGATGGGACTTCCTTCAGGTGAATGTTGGGAAGACAGAGGTGATGAAGATACCCAACGAACAACAGCATCAACAACAACAAGCACCAACCACCATTAACGGGAGGAACCTAAAGAATGTAGTCTCTTTCACCTACCTAGGCATGACAGCATCATTCAAATACAGGTGGCGGTACAGATGAGCATGTCACAGCAGCCAGGATAGGAAAAACAAGACAGGCTTTCACTAATCTGAAATCACTGTGGAGATCTACTGCACTCAGCATAAAGCGCGAACAAGATCCGCATTTTCAACACCAACGTCAGTCAAGTCAGTGCTTCTATGTGATGGTTCAGAAACTTGGTGTGTCACGAAAAGCATTTCCAACAAACTACAGATATTCATCAACAGTTGCCGCCTACACCCACTCGATACTGAAGATCAGATGGTCAGAAAGAATAAGCAACAAGGAACTCTGGCTGGCTGACTGGCAATCAACCAACCAAGAAACTATCGCCCAACAAATATGCAGAAGAAAGTGGAGATGGATTGGATCGGGCACAGATTGAGGAGGTCGACTGGGGACACCATGCACCAGGCAGGGTCGTAGAGTGGGATCCAAAGGGGAAACGACGAATTAGGCGTCCCAGGTGAGGGTGACATGGAGGAGATCATTTGAGGAAGAAATGAAAGCTTGTGGGCAGTCGTGGAGCGAGGTTCAAAAGATTGCAGAGAACAGAGTGTAATGGAGATGTGCTACTGAAGTCCTGTGGTCCACTAGGAACCCAAGGGATAATAATAATAATAATAATCATAATAATAATAATAATAATAATAATACTGATAATACTTCGACGTTTAACACAAAGTACTTGAGGTGCACATGGCTGGTAGTCCTAGGTTTATGAAACTGGGTTGCAAATTTATAGCTTAGAGCAGTTTTATTGTATAGGATGTATTTTTATTTGTGTAATCCCGGCGTAGTATATTAGAACAAATAACAAAATAAACAAATATTTTGTATTATTCCTCAACGTTTCGATCTTGCTAGGAAGATCCTTTTCATGAGTATGAATCTGACACCAAGTTTTCAGGTTAATATTCAAGTTTTGGTACAGAAAGTGGTGACCTTTACAATCATCCAATTACATAGTGATATGGAGCAAAGATTAATGTAATACAGGTGAGTGAATAAGCAACTAGGTCAGAGAGGTTTTTCCGTTGTGCGAGTAAGGTGGAACAAAAATAGGGTGGGGAAATTTTTTAGTTTGTCTATGAAAAGTACAAATGGGGTTGTGAGACATCAAGGATGAGAAAGAATAGATTACTAGTTTGGAAGGATGAATATTTGAAGATGAGACAATGTATCTTAAATAAATAATAATAATAACCATAAATGTACTTTTGATAACACTTGAAGTATGAGTGATATCAAAATGGTGTATGTAATAGGACTAGACAATCCTACCTTCTCTTCAGATATTATTTATAACTGCATAGGCGAGTCATTAATGTTTGCCATATTAGTGGGATGCCTAACCCATCTTTTCTGTTGACCGAAGAAGGATATGAGCAGATGTGCAAAGCTTTTGCAATGGTCCGCTCTTTGTGAGAGAAAACCCTTTTGCAGAACTTTTGTCTGTTCGAATGATATTTTATGACCTGAATATAAGGCATGAGCCACGATAGCAGAGCTTTTTTCAAGTTTTTCTAGATCATAGGAATTTTTTGGTGGTTTTTTGGAACTCCTACCGTGTTCGGCTAGACGTGTTAGTATTTGACGTGATGTCTCTCCAATGTATATGGCATCGCATTCACTGCAGTCTACCTTTTAGACACAGTTTTGTTGTTCCGAATGAGGAATCGGATCTTTTAATTTACACAGGTGTGAGTGTAATGTATTCGTTATCACTCATACTTCAAGTGTTATCAAAAGTACATTTATGGTTATTATTATTATTTATTTAAGATACATTGTCTCATCTTCAAATATTCATCCTTCCAAACTAGTAATCTATTCTTTCTCATCCTTGATGTCTCACAACCCCATTTGTACTTTTCATAGACAAACTAAAAATTTCCCCACCCTATTTTTGTTCCACCTTACTCGCACAACGGAAAAACCTCTCTGACCTAGTTGCTTATTCACTCACCTGTATTACATTAATCTTTGCTCCATATCACTATGTAATTGGATGATTGTAAAGGTCACCACTTTCTGTACCAAAACTTGAATATTAACCTGAAAACTTGGTGTCAGATTCATACTCATGAAAAGGATCTTCCTAGCAAGATCGAAACGTTGAGGAATAATACAAAATATTTGTTTATTTTGTTATTTGTTCTAATATACTACGCCGGGATTACACAAATAAAAATACATCCTATACAATGAATCATACTAACTCGGTGCCCAAGTTTTTTCAAACCATCCAGTCCATTGTTGGTCAGGATACCTTCGAACTTATTTCTAATCGCATTAAGTTTTCAAAGTTATATTCAAATGAGAGCAGTTTTACTAAGGGATTAAATTGCCATTAACCGGTCCGCATATTATAGAACACATATCTACTACCTGCTTCCAGATTCGCAAGCTAAACTTCCATCAAGATAAAAGTATAGATTTAGAAAAGAAAATCATGGACAGTAGTACAGAGAAACACGTGAATCTACATGAAAGATGTTCTTCTTTGAATTAGATAAACGATAATCTTCTCCTAGTTGCTTTAATGTCTCCTTCAAGCGTTGCAAATGATCTGCGGAAAATGCTTCACCACCCATTTTGGGGATACTGTTAAACTTTTCAATAGAAGCTTTATACACTTTCAAATGAAATGAATCGAGTTCAGATGGATTGATGTATGGTCGATCGGGTCCACAAATCTGTTATCAGGATGAAAAAAGATACAAAAAAGTATTATATACGGAATGACATTTTATGAAATATATCACGCGATTATCAAAAAAGTTTAGAAGTTTTCAGCATATGTTTGTGGCTGGAGTCAAATATCAATGAGATGTATTTTGGGACCTCAAGCGAACTAGCCTTCTCTTACAAGTCCAAAAGCACTTGCCAGCATGAATGCAAGTTAAAGCTGATATCTTTGACCTATTCACACTATCACTGACCTTCAGTAGAACTGGGTAGCTATACGAACAAGTCAGTGTGTAGTTAGCGATTTAAGATCGTAGAAAAATTAGGGTCACTAAATTATATAAACCACTTAGCAAGTGAAATGTACTTTTTATCTTTTAAAAACATCATTTATCAATCAAGACTGAAATAGGCGGGACAGTAAACGAAGTATGTACGCTAGTGATATGGCCTTTGAAACTGTCTTACTTAGATTACGAGTTGGGACTGTAGGTAAGTGTTCAGACTGCTTGGTTCCTCATCATACAGCAACAGAGATAGAACCCACTTTGAACATCCCAGTGTGGTCAACCAGTTAGTTTATTAGACTCATACGTAGTGAATACATCTGACTACTTGCTATACAAGTACATCGTTAAATATCCCCTTGTATTGCATATAGGTTTTAGATAAACTAATGCCTTATATTTTACCAGCATAGGTGAAAATAAACATTTTCCCCTGCTTTGTCTCCCCCATTGTTTTGTTTCACTTAGAGGAGCTGTGACAATTTAAACCACTAAGCGGAAAAGCTGAGTTTTGTCAGTAGAAAACTGTTTTCAGCTCTTGTTGCGTATAAATGTGCACACCGTAAGTCAACTAATTTCGAAACCACTAAAGAACAACTATGGCCGATTGAGACTAGGATTAATATTGATTATGCACACACGTGTGAAAATGTCATAGTAAGGAACTGAAGATGCACTCCATTAACCAAAATACTTTTCTCATTTCTCAATAACTCAAACGTATTAAAATAACCCGGCTTCTGAGTCACGAGAATATCAAATAAAATATCACGAGAAATGAATGCATTACATTTAATTGAAAAATTCCACACTACCCATATAATAAAAGAACGTGAACAAAGTCTGTCACGTCACTGAAATTAATCCTTGGGTTTATAAATCTTGTTTGTCTGAGAATACTACAAATAACCAGTTAGAGACACTATTCAACAAAAAATATTGATGAAATTTGGTAACTTCCCTCAAGTTGCTTTTGTGATGGCTAAATATACCTGGACGATGAGGTAACTGGAAATATTAAGGTTACTTTCTCTTCTAAAGCAACAACAGTGCGGTTTTGAAGCAAAAATACTACACGTTAGAATTTCGTACCAATATTCGGTAAAAGGCGAGTAGCCTAATCGACCTTGCAGTAGTAACCTGTATTAGAATTCTGAAAATGCATCTCACAGAGTATTGCCTCAGAAAGTCATTTATTTAACTCTAATATTCAACGCAGTGTAATTGCTGTGGTCTTAATTCAAACAAAGCGTTACTCCACTCAGTAAACAAATAGCGTTTGCATAATCACTTAGTTCTACCAACTAACAACATTTGAGATTTGTTAGAATGTGGGGAAACAAAAAAATACAACACACGGAGAATTGCCTAAATGGAAGTCAGAGAAGCACAAAAATAAGGATTAAAAAATTTTCACGCAACGAAATTATGCTAGGCCGATGACAATAATGCTCTTTTTTACCTTGTTCATTGCCTCCGAGTACATTTCTTGACATGTCAATATTGCATTCAAATTGTTTGCCTCAGCAGTTGCTTCCAACATAGAACGCGGTTCCGGAAGAGTATCACTCTCATAAATCTTTATATACGCTTTAAAATAGGTATAAAGTCCACGACATGTAACTTCTTGGTCATTTATCCTTTTAACAACTAAATTAGCGGGAGCTAACAGATGAGGAACCAGAACTATAAGGTTCTCAACAAAATTAGGATCAATGTCTTTAATTCGTCCATCAAAAGTGGGATTGGTTGAAACCTTAAGACCAGGATGCGGCAGCAGAAAACAATCTAACTTGGAGAAACAAGAGCGAATATGGCGACGGACAGCTTGATGTTCTGTATGATGCTCTTCAACAATCTACAAGAGAAAGTGACAGAAATAGAAAGAATGAGCCTTTTCATATCAACCGGTTGCCAGATTTGAAATTTGACTTTTGGACCACTGAAGTCTACTTACAAAGACATAACAAGGTCATACATGGATGTAAGTCTTATTAAAGTTAAAATGATCAGAGCGATTACTGGATATACTCACTTATCCAATTTGGGATTATCTTTGAGCTCCTTGAAGAATTACTTAGACGAAGGGTTAAATCAGAGCTTTCTCAATGAGGTTAAAAACAAAGTAGGTCGATGGATGAAAGCATTTTAAATTAGGAAAATGAAACTAAGTGATCATGCATCCGACTAAATACGAAATTCGAGCCAGCTAATATATATATATATATATATATATATATATATATATATATATATATGATGAGCACATGAACTAGCATTGCAGACACAATCACAACTGCATAGGACATGTATTCAATGGAATAAAATCATTTTAACAACCTAATGGAAGTATACAACCCACATTCTTGAAAAAGGAAAACACCGACTAAATAAGCTATCTATTCGGCAACCAAAGGTTTACTTTAGGCTTCAAGAAAATGCTTTCTGTAAAGAAAGCAAAGAAAGAAAAACTTCGTCTTTTAAACATCAAAAACTACTGCTAGTTAAATTACCAATAACTATTTTACGGCATTTTGGCAAAAAAAAACAAGCTAGATATTGTCATTTTACACTTTTTTGCTCATGCCAAACTTGTCAGTAAAACTTTTGCTAAATGTATATTTCGCTGCCTAAAGTTTTGAGTTTCCTATAAAATTTACGTTGATGCTATTTGAGATGCAGGTGGGAAGTAAACCAACTGAAATTACAAGTATATATTAACCCTTTTTTCCATTCCTGCTCATTCACTATTGCATCGTTTATTGCAACTGGCTCAGTGGTTTGGGGGGACAACCATCAACCATTGGGTCACGGGGTTCGGGCCCCACTCCACCTACCCAGGCTTGGAAAGACAGGTAGTATCACTAGCCCTTACACAAAAGGTGTGGCTCACTGCCTACTGCACGGATGTGCACAAAGTAGCTAAGTTTGTTCTGTCGTCACACTGTTTATTCAGATAGTTCAGTCACCTGATGAATACGATACAACTAAAAAAGTGTACACATTGCACATACACGGCGATAGAACTAACGATAATTCAGATACCCTTTTGACTATATGAAATAGTAGTAGTTTGGCACCACGGGTAAGAATGTAGTGAAGCTATGAACGTATGCCTAAGCAATTTGACTAAACACCTAAACCACTGGTCTAAAGTTCAACAGTAATCTGCCCTGCTGCTCCCTAATTTACGCCACATTTAAATCTGATAACTCTTAAAGACTTCCAGAAAACCAGTGAATGAGCTGCATAGAATTCCTAGACTAATGTAATAAATGGTACGGATGAATTCAAAATGTAACTCAAAACACTAATGCACAAAATCAGATAGTTGATGACTGGAATGGAGGAAGAATTTGAGAATTGGGAAATGCAGACAGCTGGTAGAATCATGCATGATCCAGAGGTAGGGAGATAAAGTTTAGGTTTGAAGATGAACACAGAGTAATACTTACGATCTAGAAGGCAGTCAACAGATGCTCACAGTTAAATATGTGATTTTACCTTTTTAATTTGTTTGAAAAAATCACATTAATTGGTGATTTACTCCGTAGTATGCAAACCACTTAGGTATATTCACGGTCCCAATCCTATACACTGTCAATGACTGTAACATAATCCAAACACTAGGTAAGATTTCAAGGTGTGTACATGGAAATGGCCAATTGCCTTTTTGTCATACTAGTAGTATGAACCCTTAGACAGTGATTACACTGCAAGATACGAGCCTACAAAATTCTTCTAAATATTTGCTGTAGGAAACATTATTAATAAAACACTAGCATTCCCAAAATTAACAATGATTATACCATAAATTTCGAATTACCTTAAGACGGTTATTCAGCAGCAGGTTTCCACCATCGATCCCAAAGTCATATTCGTAAGCGTAACTCCAATCACGAACAAGAAACAACAGATGCTACAGATGAAACATAAATTCGTCGGATAATTACTAACAATTAATACGATCAAATTGCAGCACACCTATGACAGCTTAAGCGAAAATTACTATATGGTCGAAAAGTGAGGTGAAATTCGCTTGAAGACACTCAAGCCAAGTTAGGATTTGATGCTTTGGAAAATTCTAGTCATTAGGTACATGATTTTATTTCGGTATCTGTATTTCCAAACGAATGTTGTTTTAATGACCTTGTTTTGTTTTACATTAATTGAGGAAAAAATACCGAAAGAATGAAACCTATTTACTTTTATATTCAAGAAACAACTAAGACAGATGTGTCTCAATCTCATCAACAAACCCCCTTTAAACATTTTATACCTTTTTTGATAACTGTAAACACTCTTTGAGAAATATAATGATGCATTTTCAGCAAGTAGTTTCGCGGTTCACTATGATTTTCAGGACATTTCATGATAAGCAACAAACAAGTTAAATACAGATACCTACGAGGTTTATAACGGCCATTGAAAAAATACTCTTCATAGGTTTTTAACATAACCCGCATTCTGAATTGACTTCATAGGTTGAAACTCATTTCGAAAAAGATCCAATAAAAACAAACAACATAGCTCCCATTTTTCCCTTGTCACAATTTGCACAATATGTAGACGATAAAAACGTAAGGTCCGGTAAAGGTGTGTGACAGTTTAAATTATAATAATCTATGTTAGCACACTGAATTGGAAGTCAGTAAGAGGAAAAACAAACGAGCGGCAATAGTAAGATGCGAAAAGGCGACAAGAAAAAGAGGGGGAATAGACAATAAAATAACCAAGTTACATGATATAATTTAGAAGATTATGCACGTTTGTACCGGCAATACAGCCGCTGAGTAGTTTCCGAATATCGGTTTCACATATATTAAAGACACGTATTAGGAAGCCCACATATCCGAACGTCATCAATATCCTCAACATGGGAGGAGGCATTACTGCCCAAGTTGCCGCACTTCATATCAGCATATCGAGCGAGAAAGCACCAAGACGAAAGGTGAAGAAAGAAAAATCGGTCGATAGACAGGTAAAAGATAATCAGAATTAAGGAAATACTGAATTCGGGAGGAGATTTAAAATGAGGACAATGTGTGGATACATCTGCGCCACTGACATCTATTCTGAGCCATATCACCTAGAGCTTAAAACTATTGGTTTCTGTTGTCAAGCGGACCTCATCTCGGAAGTCTGAGTTTCCCTACCCGTCCCTAACCTTTTCCAGGTAGCATTGTGCAACGAGGTAGACGGTGAACAGGCATAAATGACACATGTCCCAGCAACCTGAGTTGAAGGTTCACAACCTCATCGACTGATTGTCCTTTTCTCCCTAAGATGCGACATCTAGCTTCTGCGTAACTGACGTGGTGACATCATGACACGACAAATCTCATGAAGTCAATGGTGGTCAAGAACCTGCAGCCTCATATCCTCTACCTTCAATGGCAGTGTTTCACCACCATATAGTAGAACAGAACGGATTGCAGTGCAGTACACTCGACTCTTAGTAGGCAACCAGGTATCCCGATAACATCACAGTTGGCGAAAGCCAATCAAACCTTTCGTATGAATCCAGAGATTTCGTCGATGACTGACAATTCAGAGCTGACCCAACTTCCCAGGTGAGTGAGGTAGTCAATGCATTCGGCAGGGTACCACTGAAGATCAATCCTGGAGAAACAATTTGCATCTGGGTGGCGAGAAACACCCTAAACATTCTGGAATCGCCCCTCGGGGTGTCCAGAAGACTATGCATCTTGCCAGCGTCTTCACCTAACAGGACTATATCATCTCCGTACTCTACATGTATGTATAAGTCTTTGGCATTTGTATTAAGGTTAACGTGTTAACAAAACTCATCTCTTGAGTTATCCAAACGGTACATAGCATAATGTTGACGAGGATGCAGATGAGAAGTGCTCTTCATGCTACTGAACAACGATATCCAACCCGCAAGAACATGACATCAAGATACTTAGCATTCGTAGTGGATTGTATCAAGTCCCCACAAACAGACTTGGATCGTGTGCAGGCGTATTATAAAAATGCCATATATTAATGTCTTAGCTGGTAAACGTTGATTCTAGGCATGGGAAGGTTCAGAAGCCAAAAACTCAAGGTTTCGATCCACGGTGTGGATTAAGGAGACTAGAAATGGTACTCTGTTAGTCCGAATCGTCAGCAAGTGCATAGGAAAAGTGACGTTAAAGTAGACAAATGTGTACAAGACGATAGAAGAAAAATAGATGTTTAACAAAATGTTCAAGACTTTGAAGATGACAAAGAATGTATACATTTGCGCTGTTATGATCGATTTTCAGCCATATCACCAAGTTTTGAACCATTGATTCCTATTGTCTCGAAGAAGTCTACATCTCCCTACAGCTCAGATCAGTCAAAATCCTCATGGGCTGATCTTAATCTTTGGTATGATGATAAGGGAATGAATGAAGATATAGATATTAGTGATAACTAACAGCCATTTGTATATTTTCAAAAGCATGGAAAATGGTTATACTATTTAGCTCCATGAATTATGGAGGTTGGTATTCGTTTGCAGCACTTAAAAAAGAAATTAGGTTAGTCTTGAACTGTTCCACTAACTTACGCACATGCGTCTCAAAACTGTTAGAAGTAAAGTTCTTCAAGAATAATCTACACTGCAATTCAGCTAGAGGATTGATATGAAATAAAGCTCCTGAAGAAATTAAGCAAGTCACAGGTTATGGGTCATAAGTAGGTTCAAAGATTCGGTTACACGGCGCAACCAGATAAGAAAATGTTAAGGTTGCGAGTGGATTTCAGGGAAATTAAAGTAAGTCGACAGGGATGTGGATCTGTACCAAATAAATTGGCTAAAACGTTTTGAAACTGCTGAGAAATCGTTCAAAACAAGAAGCATGAACAGAACAAGGATGCGTATCAGCTCTTAGCTGTGTACATGTATGTGTTACCGGATTAATTTTTACTGGATATCAGGAATTAATATGGGACATGAATACAAATTGATTCCAATGGCACAGAAGTGGTTAACCCTCTATATCTTCAAATTTCTGATGATTATGATTCAACTACTAGTTTTCTGGTGTCAGATACCTTGGTCCTCCAGTTTTATCTGTTCATTTGCCAATGTTCCTTCCATGTTCTGTTGATAAAAAGTCACTCAATGCATTTACGTGACAGATACCACGCCGATTTTCCTATTAACCTCTTTTTCCTCTAGTAGCGGTATGAACATGAGACCGACTACCCAGATGTCAGGTGAATTCGTCAATGAAGCACAGTAAGTGTAGAAGCATTTGTGACGTGGTGGAAAGTGTCCGCCACTTCACTTACTCGAGGAGTTACGTCAGCCAGAACAGACTGGTTGTTGACGAAATCACAGATTAGATACAGAAGATACGTTTGGCAACTGCCAACTGGAGTCACCTGTGTCCCGATTGATGATATCCGACTATCTATCAAAAAGAGGGTACTGCGCTGCAATGCGTCCTGTCCTGTTATACGGCTGAGACGTAACTGTTGAAAGTAGACGATGTGAAGCGGTTAAAGAGTTTTGATCATACATGTACTCATAGCATTTTGCTCGAGTTTGGTGGAACCACCGTGTGGGCAATATTGAGGTCAGGCGAAGGGTTCCAAACAAGATAGGCAAGTTGACTGATGAGGTTGTAAAACTTCATCGACTGAGCCACCGCCTAACTCCATGTGCCATTCTAGGGAAAGTTGGATTAGGTTGGAAGAGGGATCAGGGTAACTAGACCAAGACCTAGCACCAGTCAATGAAGTCTCTGACTGATGGTCTTAGCCATGTGGGGAGATGTAGACTACCTGGTTGCGATCCCTGAGACGAAAGAAATCAGTGGTTAGGGACTTTTGGTGACATGGTTGAAAATCAGTCACAATTGTGCAGATGTATTCACTCTCTGACGTCTTCTAAAGCTTGAATATTCGCACTAACCATTGTCTTCAAATTGTTTGTTCTCTCACACTAATTTATCTGATTTGATATCAGTCACTTTTTAGTCACCTTTTCATTGTGTACTACTGTGAAGTGTGGCAACTTGAGCGGATACACTTGTGTGCATTTGTCCACTCATCACCCCACATTGACGCCAGTTTTTGTTGTTATAATTTAGTTTTGTCATTTGAGGGACTCGAAAATGATCCAACATATATATATATATATATATATATATATATATATATATATATATATATATAAGCCACAATGTATGGTTCCAACACGCCATTTACCTGAAACGGTGATCCAGATATATCAGACTCCAGTGCCAGCCTACCATACTCCGTAAACAGATGTAAGTGCTGTAAATGATCTTCTTGAATATTATTGTGAATATTATAAACTTGAGTACTGCTGAGCATAGTACTCAGAGCGAAAACTGTTGCACATTGGCGTACGGTACTGGTGCTGTCAAAAGAACCCTAAAAGTTATGACAATGCACGAGAATCCACGTACTTGTGTGTCCATAAGCAGAACAACTACTTCTTCTCCAGATGGTAGGGTCATAATGAATGGTTCGCTCCAAAGTAAAATTCCAACAGTGTCTCTTTCTGAACCGCCCCGCCATGGAAACCCCTTCAGAGGTTTCTCGGGATCTCCTAACCAGTTTGTGCGATCATCACAAAGCAAATAACGAAGAAAAAAGTCCAGTAGGAATGACTTCCCCTGGCGGAACGCGCCTGCAACGGAAACAACGACGACCTTTTTGTCACGCACATCTGGTCTCAGGAGGATAGATGATAAAGCTTCTTCATTAAGGCTAAAGGTGGTCTTCTTATTACGCTCTTCAACATTTATTATTTGAACTGCGTGTCCACTTGCGTCACACATTATCAACTTACGGTAGCGCAACCCTTCATTGTACCGCTCAAGTCTTTTACAAATACTAATGAGCAAATCCTAAACTTCAGTATGTAACATCAGCATTGAAAGTAGGGGAAACTTTTAGACTTTTAGCTGCAGAGGCTCAGTTCTTCTTTTTCGGTCGTACTGCTTCGATGCTCGCAGAAGTCTTTGCATTTTCTTGCCTATGGCTTTGGAGGTAGTGACTGTCTATTTGAGGGTAATTTATTTGCAAATTGTAGCTTGGCTTTTTTTTGGGGGGGGGGCAGCTGAGCTGCTGATTAGATCAATTAATCGGTTACAACTCCTGTTTTTCCAAGCACCTGCACGTAAGTATTAAGCGTTACTTAAAAGTAGGGGGATGTGAAAAATAGGAGTGAGAAGTGCTCATGGAAAGATAAGTGTTACTGGTTATAATATCGGGGGTAGATGTGTCTCACTGCGGATGATAGGATTGGGGAGTAAAGCGATGGAAGAGAATATCATCAGTTGCTACTGACGAATGCTCATGGTAAACAGTTGGCGCTTACATACTCATCCGACAGTCATTTGAAGGAGTCGACTGAAGCAGCTGTGGCTACTTCCTTCGGAACAGCGTTCCATAAGTCATATACTCTGTGGGGAAAGAATTTAGGTATCACTCTCGCCTTTGACCTGTGGTAGGGTATGCAAGTGGAGTCCCAACGGGACGGTTGGTTTTGGACCGATGACGTTGACCTATTCGGGTAGTCCACTTGGTGAATGATCCTGTAGGCTGTTATCGGGTCACCTGGTTCCCTTCGATAGCTCAGTGTGAACAAGCTGAGGTTCTTGAGGTGTTGCGCATAGGTTTCGCTTGCCAGTCCGACAACCGACCTTGTTGCTGTTCTCTGTAACCTCGAGAGTATTTGCGTCTCTCTTTAGTGGTGGGGGCTATCTTATTGAACACCTCTTGGTGTAGTCTAACGAAGGTTGTCAATACCACAAGGAATAATTCTGGGGTTGAAGATCAAAGCTGCCTTTTTAGAAAGCGCATAATGGCGTTCACCTTTGCTGCCATTCCTTCATAACTGTCAGTAGTATCCAGTGTCAGAAACGTTTGACCCTAAGTCCTTCTCTGTTGATACCTTAACGAATGCACCCTCTCTAGGAAAGCAGCTGATTTTCATCGCCTGTGGTGAGCGAAGACGCATTACCTTACATTTCCCCAGGTTAAAGTTTAAATTGGCCTCAATCTATTCGGATTGCGGCGGCTTTGATTTCGTTCTGTCTTTTCTCTATTCCCATATTTGGGCTTGTTTACAACGCCTTCCTCCTTTCTACAATAAATAGATTTAGTCACATTGGATAGCCGGCCGTTTTTTTGCACATGACAGATTTCCTTAACCAACCTGGAATGTCCTTACTTGGAATAAATTTTGTTTCCTTTTGCAATGGTGAAATACCGTGGGACTGTCAACGTCACTGGACCGATTTGGAACACCATCTAAGAACAGACTGGCCCCTTTTCTCTAGCTGAGTGACTTCAGCAGTCTTTCGGCTCACTGACTTTTCAGTCAGTTTTCAGCTATAGGGATAGTAGGACGAGAAGTCCTTATTAATCCTTGAAGATCCAGTTCCCTCCTGAAAACGCCCATTGAAAGGGTAGCTACCACAAGTCCCTCTTCGAGGTTCTAGTCACTGACCAACCTGTAGGATAACCTGAACTGCCCCCGCAGTTTATTCGACAGTGGCTTTCGAACCATTTCGAGATGACCTTCTGGATGATCAGTCCTAGGGGAAGTATCATGACCGGGGTGATCAGCGAATAAATCGTTGTTCAAGGTCTGATGAGCCTATTTAAGACCTCCCCCTTTTCTACGACATGACAATAAGGAAGCATTTGAATTTTCCGACTGCTTTTCTCAGGGAAGGTATGAAAGCTCCGGCACTAACTAGTTACTTACCCGCTCCAGAGTGCCTGTTTCTTGCCTGAAGTGAGGATTATCCTCCAGCTTGTGGCAATCGAAATGTAGTCCTGCGTAAGCAGGATATATCATCATAAACATTTCTGCATCAGAAAACTTAAAGGCTCTACGGACCGCTCAAGGCATAAGGAATGGCATGGCTGCGACTGTGATACAGTGGGTTATTGTCTTCAAGCGATGCCCTGTAGAAGCACCTAGATCCTTTTTATTCTCAAACACAGGGCAGTTTTGACCCATCTAGTAAGTACGAGAAGCACAACCCCCAACCGTTGTGCACTACTGCACGTTTATTGAAGCCTGCTTCTGAGCTCTAAAACTAAGACTGTTCGATGAGTTCACCTAAGCCAACCTACATCGTCATGAAGAACCCTTCAAACCTTAACTTCACCTGCAAAAAGGAGAGCATTGCGACATAATCGTGCCTGCTATTTTAGTGTTCCTCAGGTTTCCAGCACAGTCGCCTGCATATCGACCTTTTTTTGCCGTCAGTACCATCAAGAACTTAGCTAAGTTCCAAAGTTTCTTGTTAGATGTCTCACCTTCAGCTACAATACCCCCACTAAAAACTGCTCTCCTAACTCCCATTAACTGCTCAATTCCTCCCTCCTACCCTATGATTCCATCCAGTTCACTGGAGCTCCTTTTATCACCGGTTTTCTTCCTGTCTTCCTTAAATCTATGTAGGTCTCCTCAGTTCTTTCGTTCTGCTTCTTTTCAACGTGTTTTTCCCACTTCCTCTCCTTCGTTTTCCCTTGATATTTCATTTTTCAAATTTCCTTTCTGCAATGAATCCTAACAACTTTCTGGTGATCCGAAATTTGAGGAACTCATCTACACCACATTCCCAGGACAAATCATTTAGTTGTCTTGCAAATTCACCCACCATCTCACTGCCCGTCGGGTTTACCTGAGCAACAACAGGTAAATGGGTAAACCTATTGCAGTGGAAGTCATCAAAGACCAGAAGCCGTTCCACAAGCCCCGGAAGCGAGCACGAAGAAGCCGGTTGACTTACACAAGTTTGCAGAAAGATATTTCATATTGCATTTGTATGACATGGTGATGTTTTTTAAGCGCCTTTATTCGAAGTAACGCTACATTATAATGTTTAGCGTGTAGTATTTTTTTCAGTCGAGGATCTTACTGTAATACTTCTGTAAGTGGTTAATTTTTATGCCATTACTAACTATCTACGCTTTATTTTTTTCAAACCGGAAACCTAAGTGTAGTTTAGAGTCCTATGGAGGTTGTAGGCAAAGACAAGGAGGGCCAGCCCGAAAATAGATCAGTGAAATTGCAGGCCTTTTTAAAAACTACTTTTCCAATAAATTTTACGCTTGTTAGATCCACAAGGATATCACTTCTCTTCTCTTAATCTCTGTCTACCCTATCTTTCGTACTTCCCTGATAACGCTTAACAATTAGAGGTTCCTATAAAGACAGGAATTGCTGTAGGTTAATTAATCCAATCAGAGACTCAGTTTCTCCAAACAAACATGCCTACAATTTGCAAGGGAAAACCTTGGGGTAAACCTAAAAGACTGCAGGCACGGAAAGAAGTACAACCAAACAAAAAGAAACCGAACCTTAAGACCTAGACGGAAGACTTTAAAAACTGGAAGGTTACTGTACTGGTACACTTAATACTAAATGCCACGAGTAATGTGTATGAGTTATGTGCTTTACTGCGCAATTGCCATCACGAAAATCCTAAGCCATTTACCAACAAATGGAAAACCTTCCATTAATTAAATATGTTCGTTTATTTTAATCTCAAGCTTAGCTGTGGTTTTGACTCCCATTCTTAGTACGTCATCCCGTAAAATAAGGGATTCTTTAGTACTAAGAATATTACACTTATTTGGCCTGTATCAGTAGTTAAAAGTTTCTCTACGAAGGTTTGGTTCCAATTGTAATGCTCAGCGATCTTCACACCTTTCTTTGACGTGATTTTAAAACCTTTTTGAATTGAAGAGACGGTGTTTATCCCTATAAATAAGGCAACCGTCTCCACTCCATGGCCTTATCTTATTTGAATAGCATGTGAACTAGTGAAAGATATTTTCACCATAAGTTAGTTACTTCCTAAAGTTAGATGATAGCTGCTAACTTGACACAGAGATAGGGCTACGCTGGTAGAACCACAACAGAAATATCTATCGGAATGTGTTAAGACGAAAAGCAGAAACCTTTTGCCTATGCTAATATACTATGATAGTGGTCTGAGGGCGAAGTCGTACTGCTAACTGGACGGGAGTGACAGCAGCAATGCTTTTTTCGTGGATAACCGGAAATGCCACGTTGATTCTGCTTTCTCAACATGAAAGGGGAGTTAAAAAGAAGCAGGGCTGGGACCCGTGACCCGTCGGTCAAAATTCATCTACCTAAACCAATGAACCGTAACTCCACATCCACATCTTGACTAGATACCAGTCAACAGCCGTCTATGCTGTTCAACTGGATGGATCTGTAAGAAATAGTAGGCATCGTGAGACCAACCGATACCTATTCGCAATCTCCGCCCATACACTATAGTTTGGATGATGCAAAGGTTGAATCCTATAAGAAGCTGTCAATTAAGCTACTGAAAGCAAAACGTTCAGATGTAGTGTAATCGCATGGGAATTCAGAGCTGAAATAGTAGATCTAAGCCAATTAGAAAGGCATCTAAAGGGCCTATACGGAATCCCACGCCAACGAACCGACGTTAGTGATCGTCGGTTGCAATTTTGTTCTGACAATCACTTGCTTCTGGTCAGCACTAACTTTACGCATAAGGAGAGACACTATCACATGGCGTCCTCTGACATAGAACCAGCGATGGATATAGATAGATCACATTGTTATAAGCCATCTTTGGAAACGACAGGTGGCTAGAACATTCGGGAGAACACTTTAAAACCCAATTCACATGGTTCTCAGCAACGCTTTCCTTGTCTAACATCCAGCCTCAGCCTGAATGGGGAATAGATGTCGGTCATCGAACTCTCCTCAAAGTTGAGAATGCTGAATCGAACCCGCAACAACCCAAACCAATAGAATCTAAGGATTTCCCTGCCGAATTCTTCAAGGATTGAGGTAGGAAATACGAATTAAAGTAACATTATTTTTGTCAGGCTGGTTTCCCAGTGATTTTTAATAGAGGAATTCTCACTTTACTTGAAGAAAAGGGACGATCAGTGATTGAGAGCAGTCAGAAGGGACCATATCTGACTCCCATTCATTAGGTAACACTTCAGCTAACTTGATCAATAATCCGCAGCCCCTGTTCTCAAATAACTACAGCGCGAGACCATCTGGTTCTGCTGACCTTCCTCGTTTCAGACTACGTACAGTTTTATCGACTTCTGCAGCTGTTAGACGTCCTGTTTAAGTGTTTCTCTCAGTATGCCGTTGGATAGTAAGCTATCGAATTGTTGGCATGGCTTCGAACTGTTCCGTGAAGTATTAGGTGGCATATGGAAATCAGAGGTGATGCCGTAATACTGGTCAACTTCATTGATCATTCCAGTCTCAAGGAAGGGAGAGACATCATCCTCTGGAAACCAGAGGGGAACAAGTGTGATGAATATTGTGTTCAGGATCCTACAATCCATAGTTATCCAACGTCTAACTGGAGCTAGACAACAACAAACAAGAAAAGCAGACAGCTTTCAGACGCAGACGAGGGTACACCTATCACATCGTCAACCTCCAACAGGAACTGGAACACAAGCATACCAGCTGGTGGCCGACACTCGATATTTCTCGACCTGAAGGCGACACCTGACTCTATTGACCGTGAGGTGCTGTGTCAGTGTTTGACTGAAGGGAGTACCGTACAAGCACATAACGCTAATCAAAGCTCCCTACTCGAACTCACGCAACTATGTAAGAGCTAATAAGAGTTGCCATGTGAATTGACGATAAAAGGTGGTGTTCGCCAGGGATTTCCACTGCCACCGTTCTTATTTGACTTCGTTAGAGACGTACCAGTGGACATAACTTCAGATACGTCTGACTTCAAAGGACTGACCTACTCCCTAGAGGTCATCTGGTTGACTTGAAGTACACAGATGGCATCGTCCAGCGAGATTAAGACACTGGCAAAATGTAGGTTCTTCAGAACGCGTCGAGCAGATATCTGAGAATGTATGATATGCGTCTCCCTGGCACCAGTTAAATGTAAGATGATGCAACAGAATTTATCTGCAACCACTCTTAGTTTATTGATGGAGAGTGAAGTGGTGGAATATGGCGAACATTTCACATACTTGAGGAGTTACATCCGCCTGAGCAAGCTCGTTGCTGACAAAATCGCAACTCCAATGCAGAAGGCCCGTTTGACGAGATATCTGAATTTCGATCAAAAACGAGTGTACTGCGCTGCAATGCGTCCTGTCCTGTTATACGGCTGAGACGTAACTGTTGAAAGTAGACGATGTGAAGCGGTTAAAGAGTTTTGATCATACATGTACTCATAGCATTTTGCTCGAGTTTGGTGGAACCACCGTGTGGGCAATATTGAGGTCAGGCGAAGGGTTCCAAACAAGATAGGCAAGTTGACTGATGAGGTTGTAAAACTTCATCGACTGAGCCACCGCCTAACTCCATGTGCCATTCTAGGGAAAGTTGGATTAGGTTGGAAGAGGGATCAGGGTAACTAGACCAAGACCTAGCACCAGTCAATGAAGTCTCTGACTGATGGTCTTAGCCATGTGGGGAGATGTAGACTACCTGGTTGCGGTCCCTGAGACGAAAGAAATCAGTGGTTAGGGACTTTTGGTGACATGGTTGAAAATCAGTCACAATTGTGCAGATGTATTCACTCTCTGACGTCTTCTAAAGCTTGAATATTCGCACTAACCATTGTCTTCAAATTGTTTGTTCTCTCACACTAATTTATCTGATTTGATATCAGTCACTTTTTAGTCACCTTTTCATTGTGTACTACTGTGAAGTGTGGCAACTTGAGCTTATACATGTGCACAACGTTCTACGTTTATTCAGTCAGTGAGTGAGTCACTTAGTTAGTCGATAACTGTCTATTGAGTTCTTCATAGAAAGCAGCTGAAAATCCATCTGGTCTAATATATATATATATATATATATATATATATATATATATATATAATATATATATATATATATATAGTTCTTCGGAACCGTCGGAAGTTTTAAGCTTCTTACTAACGTTAATTTACTTCTCTTTGCTCCAATACCCTTTCTTTTACTTTACCACTCCGGTTTTCATCCCACTTACGAGCGTGCAACTTTAAATGATGCACTTTTGTTTAAGGTTCGACTTGATTTTCGCCTGTCTGAGAGAAACCACAACATAATCTTGTAGTGGGTATGCTCTAACGGGTTTGTTTGTTAGATGGTCTTGTTAAATGAGGTATTAAAGCCCCGTCGTCATGAAATAATTGTGTTAGTTGCAGTTTATTTCAACCGCATGAAGTTCAGGATGGTTTTGGTAGGTTGATTTGGTGGAACGTGATGTTAGTTGTTTAGGCTAAAAGCTTAGTGTACTCACTTAAATGTCTCAGGGTACTATACTTTTGCGGATGCACTCATTAGTTTTCTTGATCTAAGTCGTCATATGGAATTTCGTGATTGTTTTGTCCACTCTTCCTCTGTGGTGACTTCGTACTACCTTTGATTACTTTCTTCCTTATTTCTCTCCCTTTAATCTTGTTCCTTTCTACCATGATTTGGTGATATGCTGTATGGCAGTAATGCCAGGACTCATATTGCTGCTGACATTGATTTAGTGTATCTAACCAAATAGTATTTATAGAACTAGCTTTTTATCAGATGAACTAGCCTACATAAAGTTGCATTTGTCTTTATCCTTCTCTTGGTGTGCTAAATAAATCATTTTGAATCTGTTTCAGAATCATTGGTGTTGTACATTAACAGTATAAGTTAGTTAGAATCCATTATTTGTCAACATATTTTCTGTGATTTTACTTTGAATCGATAATGAAAACCTAAATTATCCAAAAACATCTACCAATAAATCAGTGTTAGCTTGCCAATTTGCATATTTCAGGGATGTCAGCTTACGTAGACTTCTCGACTGTGTTCAGTTTTGATCATAGAGGTCAGTATGTAAAACTTTCTCCTGATCGGACGAAAGCTCGTCGACAAGTTGGCTTTTGTGACGGTGTAGTTATTTCTCAAAGCTTTATTCGTCCTGGCGAACTCGTAGCTGTTGAAATTACGGAAACACAACGAGGCTGGAGTGGTGATTTGAGGGTTGGATTTACTTTATTACCAGACCAGTTGCTCTTGCCCCTACCCAGGTAAGTTTTGTCGTCTTTTAAAAGTGACGTATTCATTTTGGATTTTTTGAAAATGAACTAAATCTGTCCCATTATTTCGTTGTTATTAAATTTCGTAATGAGATTTTCATATCTTTTTTATTTGTGTTTGGATTCTCATATGTAACAATCTTTTTTCTGAGTGGAAGACTTTGTAGAGATTTGTTGTGATGAGAAACAAATGGAATTCCCCCGGTAATTTATAAGCATGAAGATCTCACAAGTTAGAATAACTCACATCCTGGTAATGTTGCATATCGTTTCAACTTGCTATAAATTTCTGACACAGTGAGAGCAAGTGACTAAGATTTTTGAAAAAGAAACGAAAACAATAATATCAAGACTCGTAAATCTCTAGAAAAACAGATAGACAGATATAAAATCAACGTAGAACCTCGCATACACGTATCAGCTCAAGTTGCCACACTTCACAGTAGTACACAATGAAAAGGTGACTAAAAAGTGACTGATATCAAATCAGATAAATTAGTGTGAGAGAACAAACAATTTGAAGACAATGGTTAGTGCGAATATTCAAGCTTTAGAAGACGTCAGAGAGTGAATACATCTGCACAATTGTGACTGATTTTCAACCATGTCACCAAAAGTCCCTAACCACTGATTTCTTTCGTCTCAGGGACCGCAACCAGGTAGTCTACATCTCCCCACATGGCTAAGACCATCAGTCAGAGACTTCATTGACTGGTGCTAGGTCTTGGTCTAGTTACCTGATCCCTCTTCCAACCTAATCCAACTTTCCCTAGAATGGCACATGGAGTTAGGCGGTGGCTCAGTCGATGAAGTTTTACAACCTCATCAGTCAACTTGCCTATCTTGTTTGGAACCCTTCGCCTGACCTCAATATTGCCCACACGGTGGTTCACCAAACTCGAGCAAAATGCTATGAGTACATGTATGATCAAAACTCTTTAACCGCTTCACATCGTCTACTTTCAACAGTTACGTCTCAGCCGTATAACAGGACAGTACGCATTTCAGAGCAGTATACAGACCAATAGGTGCTACACTAACGTGGTGATCGGGTTCGCTTATGACTATAACTCAAGGAATTACTCTAGTGGAACGCTTGTTTCAAAGTGGTCGTATCTTGCCAGATAGGTAAGACGAAAAGCAGCTACCGTTATGGTGTAAATTACTACACTGTGATGAGAGTCTGAGGATGAAGTCGCACTGCTGCTAGCTTAGTGTGGTGTGACAGCAGCATTGTGTTTCCCTGGGATGACCAGGAGTACCACTCTAATACTGCTTTCCTTATGGGAAGGTGGGGTTATAAATTTCGGCCCTTAAGATAACACACCCCCACCCTGTCGCGGCATTCTGATGCTCCGACTCAAAAGCAAAACACTGCACCAATCAAATATAACTTATCCCCCTCAAGTCTGTCTCCTTCTTTGCCTTCACCTCGTGGCGCAGGATCGGTGGATGATTACTTTTCCTTCTAGGGTAGTTGTTTGGACTCCGATTATGCGCTAGTACGGCTCGTGTATGTCTGAACCTTACTGGCCACAAAACAGGCTGTAGCAAAGTCTATGCTCGATTGGAAGATTAGAACGCTAAGTACGCAACTCAGTGACTTGAGACCTTATCAGATATGGGTTTTAATGGGAACCAGTGCCGGTCATGCTGTAGTTTCCTTCTATCTTCTGCTGCTGAAATGGATTGTGTTTTGTTTTGAATGTGTCTTACTGGACTGCCCCTCTAATCATTCTATCCTAATTATATTTTTCTTTTTATCCATTTCCCTTCGCTTTATTTTTTCAAAACAGTGTTATATTTTGTGTGGCTCATTTCTTGGTGCCCTCGCTGTACCATGTTTGTATTTCAATGACAATAATGATAATAAAAGTTTCGGGGGTGGGTTTCACACTTGTCAAATGTAAAATGATTCTTTAAGACTGGCCACGACTGACTACCAGGGAATGAGGTGGTAGAATGCATCGACCAGTTTAGTTACTTGGAGCTTAACAACAGCCTGTGTTGGTAACATGCTAACAAAATATCATTTCGGATACAATGCCCGTTCAGCATTTGCCAACTTACACCACTTATGAAGCTGACAAGGTTTCTGATTAAATATCAATGGGCAGACAGAAAAATCAACGTAGAATGTCGCACAGAAGTGCACTGGTTCACGTTTGCGTGCTTCACAGTAGCATGCAAAGAATAAGTAGAAAAAAAATCAAGGTAGACAGGTATATTGGGGAAAAAAGAATTGAAAAATGAAGACTAGTCAAATATTTAAGCTTTAGAAGACATCTGTGCCATTGTGGCCGATTTTTAATCATTTCACCGAGGACCTCCAACCAATGATTACTATCATATCGAGGACCCCAACCAGGCAGTCTACACCTCCCTACACAGTTAGGTCCGAAAATCAGAGACTTCATAAACTGATGCCAATCCTTATTCTGACAACCATAAGCCCTCTTCCAACGTAATCCCGCTTCTGCCTGCACTGAACGTCGATATAGACTATGGACCAACATGAGTAACACATATCTAAGTCACTTCAGTTACTGAAGGTTCATAGTCTCATTGCCTTATCTACCTCCCTTGCATGGTACCCTTCACTTACCCTCTTCATTAATAATAATAATAGTAATAATAATAATAATAATAATAATAATAATAATTACTTTATCGCAAATAATATGTCATATTATCATTATTTGTTCCTTGCGTTCCTAGGGGACCACAGGACTTCAGTAGCACATCTCCATTACACTCTGTTCTCTGCAATCTTTTGAACCTCGCTCCACGACTGCCCACAAGCTTTCATTTCTTCCTCAAATGATCTCCTCCATGTCACCCTCACCTGGGACGCCTAATTCGTCGTTTCCCCTTTGGATCCCACTCTACGACCCTGCCTGGTGCATGGTGTCCCCAGTCGACCTTCTCAATCTGTGCCCGATCCAATCCATCTCCACTTTCTTCTGCATATTTGTTGGGCGATAGTTTCTTGGTTGGTTGATTGCCAGTCAGCCAGCCAGAGTTCCTTGTTGCTTATTCTTTCTGACCATCTGATCTTCAGTATCGAGTGGGTGTAGGCGGCAACTGTTGATGAATATCTGTAGTTTGTTGGAAATGCTTTTCGTGACACACCAAGTTTCTGAACCATCACATAGAAGCACTGACTTGACTGACGTTGGTGTTGAAAATGCGGATCTTGTTCGCGCTTTATGCTGAGTGCAGTAGATCTCCACAGTGATTTCAGATTAGTGAAAGCCTGTCTTGTTTTTCCTATCCTGGCTGCTGTGACATGCTCATCTGTACCGCCACCTGTATTTGAATGATGCTGTCATGCCTAGGTAGGTGAAAGAGACTACATTCTTTAGGTTCCTCCCGTTAATGGTGGTTGGTGCTTGTTGTTGTTGATGCTGTTGTTCGTTGGGTATCTTCATCACCTCTGTCTTCCCAACATTCACCTGAAGGAAGTCCCATCTTTGCTGTCTCTTCTGTCAACTTGTTGGATTTTGCCTGTAGATCTTCGAGTTTGTACGACAAGACATTAGACATAAATCATCATTGGTGAAATCCAAATGTTCTTCTGGGGTCTTTTCATCGGTCCAGCCAACGTATGCCTATCTTCTCGCTCCTCACGGTTTGCTGCATGACCCAGTCGATCACAACCAGGAAGATCATTGGTGATAGTAGGCGGCAGCCTTGTCTTACTCCTGTCTCTTGTCTTCACTTCAAAGGTGTCACTGAGCCTTTCCATTGTGAATCACTTGGCATGTGGCGTCTTCATATAGCTGTTGAATGAGACTGATAAAGGTTTGTAGTATTCCGTAGTGTTGAAGCAACTGCCAAATTACTTCTCGTTTGACGTCGATGGAGTTGAGCTGACTGTCATTCTATACTCTGTTCTATGATGATGCATAGCGTAGCGTTGCAATTCGGTCTGCACATGATTTGTTTTTCCTGAATGCAGCCAGCCTGTTCCGGTCGTAACTTTGGATGCAGCGTATTGTTTAGTCTCTGCAGGATGATGTGACATAATATTTTGCTTGGGTGGGTGAGGACAGGAGCATGATTCCTTGCCAGTTCTTGTAAATACTTAGGTGTCCCTTCTGTGGGAGTTTGACAAGGTAACCCTTCTTCCAACCAACCTAGAAGTACCTTTCCTTCCTTCCTTGCAAAGCTTCTGCAGTAGTGGTGTGAGTGTGTCCGCTGTTGTCTCTGCGTCTGTTCACAGTGCTTCTAGAGGAATTCCATGTCGTCTTGCTGCCTTGCCGGATTCCAGCAGTTTTGTGGCGATCAGGACTCCACTTTTGCTTTTGTCAGAGGGCCTGTGTTCACTGACAGTTCTATGACTGTGCTGCTGGTGGTATTTGTGGACAAGTTGCAGGTGGTGGTGGTTGTGGTCAATTCAATAGTTTTTTGAAGTGGTCAGTCCATCGTTTCCTTCGTCTCTCCTCTTTGGTGGTAACTAGGTTTCCTTCACTATCTTTCATTGGTTTCATCTGCGTTGATCTCTTCGCAGACAGTAAGTAACCTAGTGTTGTCAGGTCTCTGTCTCCTAGCTGCAGCCTGTTCTGCTTCGCTTGCCAGTGTGTCATAGAAGTGTCTTTTATCTTTACGCACACTCTACGTCACTTCTTAGTCCAGTGTTTTGTAGGTTGTGTTCAGCTCCTCCTTTCGTTGTTCATCCCTACATTGCACTGCACTGCACTGGTTCATCTTCTGCTTCACCATCTTCCTCTCCCTCCTGTATCAGCTTCCATGTGTCCGTCAGGATCCATTCCTTGTCTTGTTTCCTCTTCCTTCCTAGTATGCTTATGCAGGTTTCTTTCCACATAGCCTTCAAAGACTCCCAGTGTTCTTCCACACAGGTTCCTTCGGGAATGTTGCTCAATCTCTCCATTTCGTCCTGATGACTGACTGATTGACTGACGTGAAGATGTCCTTTGTAGTTTCGTCCTTCAGTTCAGTATCGATTCTGGGTGTTGAACTTGAGCTGTAGTCTATCACCAGCTTCTTCTTTGAAGGCTTTTAGCTTGATTCGGAGGGTAGGTTCCTTGCACTAGATAGGGAGTGGTGTGAACCTATATCTGCTCCTCTTCTTGAACTGATCTTGTGTCGAGTAGGCTGACTGCATCTCCACTTTCTTGAGATTGAGATGAAGTCGATCTGATTTGTAGTGTAGTGTGTCCACCAGGTAAAATCCATGTCACTGCCTTTTGAATATCCTTGTGTTTGTACATACTGCCTCGCCTCCAATCACCAAATCGTTGAATGCGCAGAAGTCTGCAAACAGTTCTCCATTTTCGTTCATTTCACTGAGTGCTTCTCGACCCATGCACAGTTCTCTTCCTGTGTTGTCCACTGCCAGTTTGACATTCATGTCACTCATTAGAATTTTGATATCGCCAACTGACGTCTTGTCCAGTGTTGATTGGAGTTGTCTGTAGAATTCCTCCTTCTTCTCTTGATCTGCACTATTTGTAGGTGCGTAGCGTAACACTGTATAATTGTGACTTCCCTTCCGTTTGAGTTGAATCTTGCTGTCATGATCCCGACTGTGGAGGAGGAGATTGGTTTCCATTGCTTGAGAGTCTTAGATGCTGTTGGGGACATCATGATAGCCACTGCATAATTTAGTGTGCTGGTAGTTGTCGTCTGTGTGACAATATCGGAGTAGATTATTGATTCTTCAGTTGACGGTTTGGAGAGTCCACTTCCATTCCATCTACTTTTGCAGATTCCAAGCTCTTCTATGCCATACCTTCTCATATCTTTGGCAATCTGGGTAGCCTTGCTAGGTTCATACATGGTGCGGACATTCCATGTCCCCATGTTTACTTTCGCTTTCGTAGAGAGAAGTGAGAATACATGGGTCAATTGGCTTCCCGAAGGCTTTCACCAACTGGCGTCATTTTATCTTTTCGATTCCAGCGAGGAATAAATTTATTTTTATTTTATTTTTGCTTTGAAGTTTCTTGGTGGTTGGACTGGTTTTCGGGGAGGTTTGCTAGCCCTACGCCAAACCTTCCCTCTTTATCCGGGCTTAGGATCGGCTATTAACTAGTGAACTAGTTAACCAGGCGAGGTTAATATGTCATATGCAGTATGGAATTCTCAACATGTAAGACTACAACCAGTTCACCACCATGCTAGTTCTGCAGGACTGTATTTTCAAACGAAATGATTACTGCAACCGAATGATGCTAATAATATCACTAATAAAGGAAATAGTGTGAAACGGTCAGCTGGTGTTGAATCGCTTCTGATCTAGAATGGAGGATGTACAGAAAATAAAGCGTAAGTTTGTTGGTGATGGTTCATTCAACGAATGCAAGAATCTGCAATCCGAGTCAGTCATCCGAGGAGTAGAAATGTGCTGAATGTTTGCAAATCGAAAAGTTCATTTTCATTAAACTTGACATTTTTTGTTCGCTTTGTCAACTACCTAAGTAACGGCTAGTTGAAAACATTTTAAAACTGTGCAAGAGTACATGGTACGTCTAGAAGACATGATCATGTCATCAAAACAAATTGAAAGCAAAGAATGTGACGTACGTGATCGTTGGAAAGTTTTGGTTGCCCAATGTTCAAGCAGACTGTTAACATGTTGATTCCACTATACACGAGAAATGCTACGAAACACCTTCCCTTAACAAATGCATCATCAACGTAGTGGTGCTGGTCATCCAAGAGGAACACCAAGCTGCTGTCACATTCCCTTTCAGCCGGAAGTACGACTTTGCCCTTATACCCCCTATCATAGCGTAACGGTTTTCACTATGACGATTACAGCTTTCGTTCTAAAACTATCCAGGAGACCTTCGTGGCGTGATAGGACCTCGAGGGAACAATTGTTCAACCAGCATAGCTCATTGAGTCATTGTGATATGAAAGCGTGACTATCACATCAACGTTTCAGCTCTCGACCAGTCCCTGAGAACTAGCTGTGATTGTATTTTTCAATATTCGGCGCGTATATTTATCTTTTCGATTCAACCAAAAATGCCTGTTGACCGAGAATAATTATTGATCGAGAAATATTATGTGATTTATTTATTCTTGCTTCTATTTGCAGATTCGCTTTGCCAGCATTAGTTTCTCAAGGTAGAAGTTGGATTGTTCCAGTTGGAACTGCTGTGGCTCTTCTCTTGTCTCATCATCATCAGACGTACTGGAAACGACAACAGCTGAAGTGTAGCCGTCAGTTGAATAGATCTAGTATCAATCCCCTTACATTCTTCGATTCATTTAATATGTTCTGTGGTAGACAAACCGATATACCCAATATGAATCCGATAAACGGTACTATCAGCAATCCTAGTTTATTGGGAGTTAATTCTCATGTGGATAAACAATCAGTTCACTTACAAGTTATGCGTTCCTATGTTTGTACTTGCTGCCTACACACTAAACGTGGTAGAGTACCACTGAGTCAACTGGTGCCACATGAGTTAGAACTAACACTACCTCAGATGTTGAAAAAGGTAGTGTTATAGCTATTTATTACGAACTGGAACCACTGTTAGCAGATGATTCATCTGCTCGAGGTACAAGTCCTACAGTAGACGAAAATATGAACATGCTTAGTGATGTTGGAAATATTCCTTCTATAATGCCAGATGAGAATGTACAGAATCTTTTCAGATATGCTTTGAACCCCACTGGGAGCGAAGAGAGTTCAAATGCAGAAAAATTGCTTTTTCATTTTCGTTTTCACATTGTTATCAACGGCATTGACATGATTGCCATAGCAGTAAGTCCTCGTTCTTTATACGCTTTAGACTCACTTATTTGCCTTGAAATATTTTTTGAAAATGCTTTCCAAGCTGTTTTAAATATTTGAATACATGGGACTAGGAAACAAAATGTATTAGGTAGACTGTCTCTTCGAGGTAAATTTAGGATGATATCAATATCGAAATTTATTCAGTTGAGAAATCTCAGTATGCATCTACTGTCTGTAGTATAGCTGTATTAAAGGCATCATCCAAAATGTGGCTAAAAGGGTGTGACAATGTGGCTGATAGTTGTAGATATTTCATTCAAATATAAGGATTTTGGATTACAATCCACTACAATCACTTTAAACCTTTAAATTGCATAGTACGTTTAAACTACACGCGATAAATGTAGACCACAGTATATCATATGAGATGTTATTGAACTAGGTGGTTCAGTTTCTTGCCGAAAATGAAGGACTGAAGTTTAATCTTCTCTCCTAAAACTTTTCACCATATTTCCAAATAATGACCTCGTGCTTCACATCAAAGAGAAAAATTGAACTCCACTCAATAATCTTGTGCACGATCGTGTAGTAGACAATGGGCCACGCCTATTGTGTGGGAACACTTCATACTACCTTACTGGATCTTAGTAAATGAAGCGAAGTCCGAACTAGTGATCCACTGGTTGAAAGTCAGCACTTTGAGCTAATGAGCCAAGCTTATTGTGGGTTATTCCATGTGGCTATCACAAACGATTTTCACGTGGGATACTTCTCCGTTTGATTTAACGGCTAATCGGGGTTTAGAAATACCGGCTTTTAAACATCTAGCACACTGTAGAACAAAAATCTAGTTGATCTGGAATTCGTGCATGACAGTAGTATAGGAATATCCGGAATAAAATTCGAAGACCTCTTGTGAATTTCCTTCACTTAATCTCAAGGTTGTTCTGCAGGTTTTGCGTACACGTAATTTCTCTCACGGACTTGAACGAGAGTTGTGTTTGCATGTATTTATTGAGGCTTTTGCTATTCTTTGATTGCAACAATTTTTATGTGTTGTGACTGCCAAACGACTGTTTACATAAATGTGCAATAGTGTTCCGAGTAAAAGCAGGATTAGAAGAGCTTTAAAGGAAGGAAACCGAAATATGATGAAGTTCATCAAGTCATAGACTTTGGACTCTGGCGAAATATAAGTGAGTTTTGTCAGAGAGCTAAAGTCTTTGGCCAAAAATTAAGTTTTCTGAATGAGAATTAATCTCATTTTACTGCATCTTTCGTTGGTTATCTAGTGTTCATCACTTAAAGTATTGAAATGTTCACTTATCCGTTAACCTATCATCTTTCTTTCGTTTAAGTGGCTAGAGTAATTGCTTACTGTTAAAGATATCGTTAGTTGAATTTTAGGAGAACTTTAAATACTGATAAATGGAATCTTGGTAACAAGCGACAAATTATCTGAATGCTGGTCTAATCTTTATGAAGTTACTGTCTTAGAGTAGCTCATGTAGCGCAGTAAAGTCATGTGGTTAAAAACCTTTTACAAATATTCATCAGAAATTGATTCATTTTGAAAGTCATTGTGGTATTGTCCTAGCTATTCTCATTTTTTAAAGCCTTTTTTAACTCATCCTTTCGAAAAGCGTAATAACCTGAACTTTTTGTTGTAACTTCTCACCTGATTCGAATGAAGTTATTTTATTGGTCACATTTTTTGTTAAGTCTGACTTCATGACTGTCTTATATCACTGATACATATCATAAGTTACACTGATAACTTGGAAATAATTCTGTATTTCTGAATTGCCTTCAATGAGTGTAATTACCTCACGATAACTGTTAAGTTTTCTAATGATAGACGTGAAAATGAGACTCAGAGTGCTTCGTAGGAGTTTTTCGTTCACATTTTTCGACCAACTACGGGAACTACAATAATACCCTGGAAAGTAAAAGTAATTTGAACCATCTTAGTGTGGCTTTCAGTTACTTGTAACTATAACCTTTGTTATTCGATGGAATACTTCTCTTTAACCGTACTTTCCTGAGAACTGTGACGTTGTTTCTCTCCTTGAGCAGTTTAAGAGTTACTGTCTGGTGCTTTACTAAAAGAGATCTCCATGTAAAGCTTTACTTCTGGAAACATGTTACTATTGATTAATAGTCGCTTCGAAAGCTATTTTCGGCTTGTGTGTTGACATCATTTTCCACTCCTTATGGTGAAACGGAATAACAACACAGTAGTGCAACTCAATACGCTAGTGTTTATGTATTAGTTTATGAACGGCAAACTGTCAGCACGTATGATGGTACCCATTTACCCAGATCAAAGTAGGTAAGACGGGATTTAAACCCGGGACCCATTACTTTGAAGTCGAATGCACTAGTCTCCTAACCATATCCATTCAAACCAGTCTCAGGGTAGCACTTTGCATTCGAAAGGTGAGGAACACAAAACGTTCACCAACTAACAGCAGTTGTTTGAAAGACTTTACTTCGTCAGCGTCTTCGTTTAGCTGGACAATGTTCCTTTTGCACTGAAAGTTGATCTACAAATGTCTGATTTGAAGATCAGTTCAGATTAGGGTTAGAGACAAAAGCTGTAACCGAAATGAATCCATTTACGATTATGTTAAGTGAAAATGCACAGTGAACAGCATTAGCAAACACGACTCGGAAATATTGCCTCGCACAGCAATTTAACACTTATGTACGAGAAAAAGACGAGTGCAAAATGTGATTCTGAGGTAGACAAAAGTGCATAGGTTGAGAAATAAGTCAAGCTGTTGTTAGTCTCCGGGTAAGTGAATTGATCGATGCATTTTATCACCTCATTCCCTATCCTTCAACTGATAGTTAGTACTGACCAGTTTTAAAGCATAATATTACGCTTGAAAAGTGTGAAACCCACACCCTAGACCCTCAAATGTTTGACCAAGACCTACAAAGGACGACATTTTGTCAGCATCTTCGTCTAACTGGAGTATATCATTTCCGTGGTTCAAGTAAACCAAGTGCTCTTCTGTGACTAAGTTAATCCATGAGAATTAGGAGCTCCTCAGGGTTATATCCATCAGGATGTCTATAACATAGCTGAAGAAGAATGATGACACTAAGCTTCATTATTAGATACCTCTATGTGTCGTCAGTTCAACCGACAACTTTTTGTAAGTCCTTACATGATTGCGTGATTTCGAGTAGAGAGCCTTCATTAGCATACTATACTTGATCGGTATTCCCTTCTCAATCAAAGCCTGACGCAACACCCGTCGGTCGACAGAGTCGTATGCAGCCTCTCGCTGGACGATGCCATCTGTGTACTTCAAGTCAACCAGATGACCTCTAGGGAGTAGGTCAGTCCTTTGAAGTCAGACGTATCTGAAGTTATGTCCACTGGTACGTCTCTAACGAAGTTAAATAAGAACGGTGGCAGTGGAAATCCCTGGCGAACACCACCTTTTATCGTCAATTCACATGGCAACTCTTAATTAGCTCTTACATAGTTGCGTGAGTTCGAGTAGGGAGCTTTGATTAGCGTTATGTGCTTGTACGGTACTCCCTTCAGTCAAACACTGACACAGCACCTCACGGTCAATAGAGTCAGGTGTCGCCTTCAGGTCGAGAAATATCGAGTGTCGGCCACCAGCTGGTATGCTTGTGTTCCAGTTCCTGTTGGAGGTTGACGATGTGATAGGTGTACCCTCGTCTGCGTCTGAAAGCTGTCTGCCTTTCTTGTTTGTTGTTGTCTAGCTCCAGTTAGACGTTGGATAACTATGGATTGTAGGATCCTGAACACAATATTCATCACACTTGTTCCCCTCTGGTTTCCAGAGGATGATGTCTCTCCCTTCCTTGAGACTGGAATGATCAATGAAGTTGACCAGTATTACGGCATCACCTCTGATTTCCATATGCCACCTAATACTTCACGGAACAGTTCGAAGCCATGCCAACAATTCGATAGCTTACTATCCAACGGCATACTGAGAGAAACACTTAAACAGGACGTCTAACAGCTGCAGAAGTCGATAAAACTGTACGTAGTCTGAAACGAGGAAGGCAGCAGAACCAGATGGTCTCGCGCTGTAGTTATTTGAGAACAGGGGCTGCGGATTATTGGTCAAGTTAGCTGAAGTGTTACCTAATGAATGGGAGTCAGATATGGTCCCTTCTGACTGCTCTCAATCATGATCGTCCCTTTTCTTCAAGTAAAGTGAGAATTCCTCTATTAAAAATCACTGGGAAACCAGCCTGACAAAAATAATGTTACTTTAATTCGTATTTCCTACCTCAATCCTTGAAGAATTCGGCAGGGAAATCCTTAGATTCTATTGGTTTGGGTTGTTGCGGGTT